CCCAATAAGAAGTACATGAAAATAGCAGTTGTTGACTAGAAACATGCCTCAGAAGAGTTACATAAAGAATTAACTTACCCATCTACAAGTCCATGCTGCAAAATAAGTCTCTGAGCCTCTTCTCTGGAGATTTTATGATGAAACCATGACTGAGATCTGTGTATAGCTGTGGAAATAAAGAACTTTAAAAAACATTTTGCCTTTATTGAAAGAACCAGATATTACATTTCTCTGGCAACGAATTAACTCACACATACCCATGTTAGACATGGCAATAGGACTACCATGTGAGTTGAGTCGTAGGCACCCTCTCCTCTGTAGGAGAGAGAAGTAAAGATGTGATTTCAAAGCTTTTTTGTTAAAAAAAAATTAAAAAAACAGAAAATAATATTCTGATAAAGCAAAGAGGGTTATACCCGCCATGCTAATCCTTCTTCAACTGCAACTGAAAGGGCTTCTGTTGGATTTTCTATAATTCTGCTTCTGTGTCCTGAGAAATCCATTGCTACTAAAGAATTTTCTGAAATGCCTCTCTGCAACAAAGAAAAAGAAATTTAGTTTGTTCATTTTTTAAAAGATCCATCATTTAGAAGTGAGCTTCTGAGAAAACATTATGTTTTGTAAGTGGTATATCAAGCATCTGCAGTGTTTGCCATCAGAGCCAAACTCATTTTACCCTAGGGAGCATTTGTAATTCCAGTTTGCTGCTGCAAAGCTCGGTTTTACAGCCTGGCAGGACAGACCATCTTTTTGCATTACTGCAATGGATGATAAATACATTGCTTTACTAAAAACTCTATTTATATTACTAACTATAACTAGCCCTTTGCATCTCAAAACAAGTCAGGAAACTGCTATTAAGTAGCCCAAGCAACAGAAAAAAGATAAAATACAAAATTCTTATACATAACCATCAAATTAACAAAGATTTTAAAGATTTCACTTCAAATATGTCATAAATTTATACATTTTATAAATAAAGTATCACTCAAAGTTGACTGGATTTAAGCATTGAAAACAGTCATTTCTATGGAGTTTAGCTTCTATTTTAAGACATCCCTTCTAACTCTTATTACGGACTCAACAACTGTAGGATGTTATAAAAAATACTTTTTTTCTTCTCCCAGTGAAGATCCAGTTTGTAACAACAGAATAAAATCATTGAAGTTTGACAAAAGAGTCTTAAAACTCATCTAAATACTTCTCAGAAACCAAGGTTTATGAAATCAAGTTTCATACGGATTGTAATAGCTCAAATGTTGGCAGGCACTGGAATATCAAATTATTAAAAGAACATTCTAGCATTCTGTAAGTTAAAGTAACATCTGGAACACAAGAGGCCCAGATTTCCATAGGGTTAGCAAAGCTTCCAAGTCCAAAACCAAAGCAGCTCTGTTGCGTTCCTGTTTGGTTGCAAGCATGAATATAACTAGAAATGGAAGACAACAATTCTGTAGTTCACTGGAATTCTTGACACTGTAGTCTAAGGTTTGCCTGAGTAATTGTAACCTGTGAAGAACTTTGCAAAAGTAAAAAAAGCCAAGGACAAAACAAGAGAAAGTATTTGCCTCTAGGAGAGTGGAGGGAACTTCTGGTGGCTGACATGCTTGTGAGTTACTGAGGAATGTGAAACATGGAAGTGGTTCCTCTTCAAAGTATGTTCATTAGCTTGTGCACTTAAATTCCCAAGTTTATCCAATTTGCTGTTTAATTCATGAATTATACACAAGTAGAAAAACAGTGCCATGCTTAACACCAGGTATAGATTCTGGCTGTGTTAGAAGCTGTGTGAGCTAAACACACGCAACAGTGTACGAGGAGAGAGAACCTGTAATGGCTCCCAGATCCGTTATAAAAGCAGCAGCTGGCTATTGTAACAGCTTCACATAACAGAAAGTAAAGACACATCGGTGTATTAAGCACAGTTTTGAAGCCATGCTTACTAGCAATATCACTGAAAACTATTTTTGTGAATACCTATAATAGCAAATGCATATTTCAGACATTTTAACAGCAAGAACTATAATAAGAGCTAAAAAAATCCACCACAAAAGTCACTGTTATGAGTCCTGGCAACAAGTAATTTTTACCCTATTTAGCAAACAAAACCCACAAAAGTGATAAATCAGAAGTCTGAAATCAAATGATTCATAAAGAACTGGGATAACGTAAGATATTAAAGAAAAGGACAACCTGATCCAATCCCAGCTATCTGACTGTGGAGATGGACACAGCATCTAGTAGAGGCTGTCGTTCCTCCAAAACTCAGTTCTGCCAAATTATGGTGTCCCTCTGAAATCCAGTCAGTATCACAACAGCTGAAATTCATCTTAAGTACTTAATATTTTATATTAAAAAAGTAAAATGGAAGTATTACTGTATACCAAAAAGGATTTGTTATAGCTTTCTTATGCATCGTTTACAGCATGTGTAACCTTAAACACTTTGCTTCTTTTTTAATGCATTTACAGGTCTGCTGCTCTGTTTTCAAAATCCTCTTTTTGACAGTGATAAGCCAATGACTTCCCAAGATACTGAAGATTTGACAAAGAGAGAAAACCCGTTAATTGGTCTGAACTCCCTGATTCGTATTAAGTAAATGAATTAATTAGCTCTCTGGTCAACCTTGACGGCCCAAAAGTTTTCGGCAAGCATTTGCACGTGCAAAGATTTGCAGGATCAGGTCAGTCGTATAACAGACACAAGTTACTCAAAACCAGCATGATGGCAGAAACAGTGTATTTATTCATGGAGCTACTGTGGGACATACCATAGGTGTTACATTCAAAGGGCTGCAGCCACTTCTACCTTGATATGGTTGCATGTAATTCTGATACAGCTGCATCCCATACTAAAACCAGAAAATAACATGGTTAGCATTTGAAATTATAAACCTAAGCCAAGTAAATTTTTTTTCCACATGTAAAAGATAACACATGGTTTTCTTTACCATTAAAAATCAGGGACAAATGCTGTTACGATAAGGAAACGCACAACATTGTCGTCGCTGTTGCTGCTTGCCTTTATAAATATATATTCTGTGTTAAGTAATACCCACTTCATACACCAGCTGACCTATGCCTTTTTTGTCACAAACAGACGCATTTTAAAAACATATTAAAGTTCCCTTCTTTTGTATTCTCGTAGCTTTGTTCAACATTACTCAACAATCTCACTGAACTCAACACGATTACGTATAAGTATATGCTTAATGTTAAGTTTAAGTATTTGCAGGACTGAGGCTCCAAAGCATCATCCCATCCCCTACAATGGTTCCAGAGATTTCGTCTCTCTCTTGTTTCTTGGGATAAGCTTTCAGAGTACAAAATCGATATTGCTATTGCATGGAATTCAGAATTTCGTTACTTCTCTACCACACGGTATCAAAATTCCACATAGTAAACTTAAGCAAGAAGTTAACTCCACACAGAAAAATTACCTTAAGCAACCTAATTGCTGTCATCCAACAGGTCCTACTTTGTTCATCATCTGCACAGAGCTGTTTCAGGTCTCTGGTTCCTCCTGATTTGTTAGGCTAGAAGGCCACAGCACATTTTTTTTAGCATTAATGCATATCTTGAAGACAATACCTGTTGAAATAAAAGCCACTAATTCTCCTATTTTATAACAGACAGCTGAGTATTGTTTTCAAAAACCTTAAAAAAAAACTTAAGCTTACCTAAAAGCTGTGGCTTGCTTTAATATGTATCAGAATAATAAGCTTGTACCTTAAAGCAGAATCCATAGTTTGTTGGTGCTCCAGAAATCTTTTTGCCTGTCAAAGACATGTACATATCACTATTGCTGAATTCACAGAAAAACTGCAGATGCCTTGGCTCCTAAAAAGAAGAGCAATGTAATACAATTAGACTGTTTTTAGCCAGCCTCTCCACATTAAGAAACTCAGAATAGTAGTTATCCTGTTCCAAAATACACTCTTACATACTGCAGTTTTAACTGTGACATCATGAAATCTAGAAAGAGACAACTCAACATTAATTTTATAATGCAGAGAAAAAGCGCCTCAAACTAGTCAAAGAGTTCATTCTTCTAGGGAGGGAAAAAACCAAAGTACAAGTGATATCATTTCTGGGAAAACATCCACTGAATTCAAGCCACAATAACATTAGAGTAGGAGTCAAGTTTTGAGAGCAGTATGCATTTCAAATATAAAAATAAAATATACTTTCAGAATCTGAAAAACAACATACTGTAATTATTACTGTCCAGTACTATTTCTAACCATTATCTCCATCCTCTAAGGTTAATTGTAAGTCAAGGAAGCAAACAAAAGAAATTTGCTGAAGGATACAAAACCAGCTCAATGAATATTCTAACAGTTAACAGAAAATTCAGAACAAGAAAACATTGTTTTAAGTGGTTTATGTAAAAGGTGTCGCAACTCCAGTGTATCCTGTTTAATGTAATCAGGTTTAAAGTACTGCCATCAAAAAGTTGAACTAGTAAAATGAAAAACTGTCCAGTCACAAAATTTGAGAACTCTCAAAATCTTCCTGTAAAATCCTTTTATGCATAGGGTTTTGTTTATTTTAGATAATGAAGTATTACATCCACCTTTCAGAGCATCTACTTACACTTCAGAATTTTAACCAGTATTTGAAAATTCATTTTAAAAGGGCACTCTGTTAAGTGATTGGAAAAATATTAACCAGAATGAAGCAAAATTATCAGGCAAAAAGAAACTACCATTTCTAAGATAATACTTTCTCACTTTTATACCTCAATATTGCTCTAGATTTTACTTTAAGAAATAAGTTGGGTTTTTTTTTCATCACTGTAAATTGAAATTAAAATTTTGATTATTGTTACAACAAATTATCAATGCATACATATTTGCTCTAAGTTCATAGTTCTCTCTGTCTTTTTTTTTTTTTTTTCCTTACCTTACCTTAGATGTACCTTTAGTGGAAAAATAAAGGCCAGATCTTCTCAAAAGAAAATACATTTTTTTCCAAGATTTTTTTCCCTGTTCCTTTGCATGCAAATAACCATGAATCTCAGGATAAGTGCTGGAGCTTAGGAACATCTGTAAGAAAATATCAGACATGCATTTTTCTTTTCTTCTGAAACCAGCTTTCTGTTTCGTTAACAGACAGGACTAAGGGGAATAAACCCCTAAAACCACTATCATAACACAGTAATTCAGTTATGATTGCATCTAATCCCATTAAGAGCACCTCTGATTTAAGGCGTGTAGAATGTTACACAACTCCATGGTATGCTAAGCAAGTTACGTATTTATATGGAATATACAGTTTGTAATAAGAGCATTAGTTACGCAGTATGTTGACTTCAGCAATAAAACCAGTGTAAGCAGTCCTAATCCTATGCCTCACACCTTATTTATATAAAACTGCAAATCTATGTCACCAAAAGAAGGAAAAAAAAATGCCATCCCTTCCCCCCTCCCATGTTACAAACCAGATAAGGGAACTGATCAGAGTTCAAATTAATTCAGCAAACAAATCACAAAATCTGATCACAAAACCGCGTAGGTCAGGCAGATATTACCATTTTCAAAAGGAGGGAACAAAGGTCTCAGAACCTGAGGTGGTACTGAAGTAGGAGCTTTAGTTGAACCGAGCCCAGGAGAGGCTGGGCCAGGCACCAAGACAGCTCCTGTCACAGTGCTCAAGGTCACGTGGCAGGGAGCATTGAAAAAAGCTGCATCGGGAGGCAGGAAAGCGGACTTAAAAGTCTCAGAGATCAGCCATTTTGCCTCCAGAACCGCAAGAAAAAGGTGCACACCCTCACAAGCCATATCCAATGATATGGATAGCCAGAGAAGTTAACTAATGCACTGAGAGAAGCTAACTGATGCACTGCCTCTACTTGAGGCATTCGATGGCTTCTCTTCAGCCACTTCAACCAGACATCACCAGATGCAACACAGCTGTTATCTTGCTGAGACCAAGTACGCAGTTTTACTCAGTCTGCAAAAGTACCCACTGAAAGCTGGCAACCATGTTAACTTTATTCTAATTCCATGTAATGCATTCATTTTTATTACTCTTCTTCCAAGAAAACTACTCAAAACTACAACTCACATCTAAACAGACTAACCTAGAATTCTTCAATTTCCATATATGCAAAGGAATCTGTGTTGTTGCTAAGCTCTTCAAGGAACCTTGCCCCAGCCTGGCCTGCAGAATCATACATACTATCTAGGCTTATACAGAGGGAGGGAACAAGGGATTTTCTGGGCGATACCTGCAGCTTTCATTGCTGCATTTTCCTCGTGTCACCTGCCACTTTCAGAAAATCTGACTTGAGGACACAAAGCAACAGATTACCAGGCAAGAGATGGACTGGCCAGTACTGCAGCAAAATAATGAAGTGAACATGATTTTGGAAGTACACCAAGTTCTTTGGCCACTAAATAATGCAGTCCAACCAAGATACAAAAGGTTTCTTTCATTTTTATTGTTTTCCTACCCTGCAGCCAGATACATGACTGTGCCACCTGTAGACCAACCTGAACTCATTAAATTCAGCTGGTGTGAATGCAGTAATATGGGCAGGCTTCATCTGACAGGGGAGCGCCCCAGCCCACAACTAGGAATGCATTATGAACAGCTTCACCGCTGCTCTCCTGGGTAGTTAAATTACAATAAGACTAGGTACTTCTATCTACACGTGCTGCTGGCACGCAGCTGTGTGCAAATGCAGCTTAAGCTGTTTCAGCCACATGAAGCAGATGGGTAGGTGCTGGTAGGTGTTCCAGCCTGATAATCTTCCCATTTGCCAGGTATTAGTAGGTTCACCATTGGCAAATATAAAGGCTGAATTGAAAAAGTATTTTAACTCCATAAACAAAGTCAAATGGAAGCTTTAAGAACATCTAAAAGAGCCAATGTATGTAAAAACAAAAGAGCATCTTTTTAGGCTTTAGTAACTCTGTTGAAGATGAAAAGAGTGGCTGGCTCCCAGCCTACACAAGTGTCTTCCCCAGGATATCTGCCATAAGAGCTTCAAACCAGAAGCGTTGTCATGAAAAACACTTTTCTTACTCAGCAGACTAAACTGGAGGAGCAACACAAAGCTCAGCTTCAACAGTCACTGTTGTACCCATGCTATCAATTAAAATAAAGCAGCAATAATGCTAGGGAAAAGGCAATCCTAGATCCATCTTTTTCTTTCTAAGACAGCTAAGGAATGTGTGAGAAAATATAACATGAGCAAGCTGCAGTCAAAACCATTAACTGTCACAAAGAATGAGCAGTAAAAATATTTCAGAGTGAGAACTGAATGTCTGCAATAAACACCTAAAAATAAAGACAGTATAAAAGAGAACTTCCTTGGGGTTTTTTGTTGTGGGTTGCTTTTGGTTGTTTTTTTAAATGGAGGTACATGCAAGTTTATTATAGGGGGGAATGGATTCCTGTTTATGCAGATAAGAAGTAATCAAGATAGGACAAAAATAAGAAAAGTCCTTAATACAGGAAGAGGAAGTGGGGAGGGTTTAATCCCTGTCTGCAGCACACCATCATTTTTGGTCACACAATACGCAGAAATAAGCTTGCCCCTCCCTCCCCCATGCACTGAAATATGTAACATGGTATGTAGGGTGGTGTCAAATGTCACCATGTCTTTCGGTTACTAATACATGACACAAGCAAGGACTCAATTACAGTTTGACTAACTAGCTATAAACCCAAATAATTTAAAACCAAGCTGAATAAAAAAATATAAGCAAATAAATATATTTGGGGGGGTGGGGGGGGCAGGAACTCAAATCCATTAAAAAGTGAAAAACCATCAGACCAAAAAAATCATTGCACTGTCTCAGTGCAATGCAGAAATACTAGATGTCACTGAATGCAAAAAAAAGATAGAAAGCTGCACTCCTAACCATAGAACTTACCTATCCACACCTTCCATGTTTTCCATGAAAGAATGGCTGCAGTAGCAGAGACGACAACATGTGCTAAGACGGATGCCTCTCAAGCACTTACTCACTATTTTGGCGAGTTAAAGAAGCCATCATTTTCCTAAGATTCTGTGAATCAAGTTGGAATTTGATGACTGATTTCTTCAAAGATTTGATGACAGCCGGCCATGATCCAGCCCAATGCTACTGGGAATGAGCAGGATTTTCCCCTGAACCTGCTGATAAATTTTGGGGGTACCAAGTAACTCCAGTGAAGAACTGGTAGTGATTCTCAGTATTGCCTCCTATAGACCTCAGTCAGTCTGAGGGGTTGAGACTGGGAGAAAGGCCAGCAAAACATGGAGTGGAAGATGGGGAAAGGCAACACATCTAGGCTGGAAGGCTGGAAAGGCTGGAACACATCTAGGAGATTGACAAGAGAGTGAAATTCAGTGCGTGGCTATTTCAGCCTGAAGACTGGAATGGGGTCAGACGAGAAACTGGGCAGTGAAAGAGTGACTTGCTGTGGCAGAGACATTAAAGAAATGAAATCTCGAATCTTAAATCTGTGAAGGCAGAGACTGGGAACAACTAAGAACACGGGGCAAGCAATGGGGAAAGGGCAAAAGAAAAAGACATTATCAGTAATTCTGCCTTTCACAAAACTATGAGTGTCTTGGTAATCCTGTTCTGCCTTTAATTTTTGCTTATATAACTTTTTGTTAATGTTTATTTAGGAAAGACGTCTGCTCCTTTAATATATTCTACATCAGGTGCAAGTTTTTTTCATTGCTCTGGAAGATGGTTTGGACATGTGCTATCTACAATAGCTTTTTTTAATGTATTCACATTATACTTAAAAAAACTATTAGAAAGAAGCAGCCAAATTGGTCAATACAAGACTTGAACTCTGAACTTCAAGTTCAGAACCTGAGTATCAACTGCATTTTTTAAACAATGAGAGAAGAGCGGGGGGGAATAGGTCTTTTCATAAGCAAAAACACAAAAAAGTGTAATTACCAAACTAATTTCAACCTTCTATTTTGAAGATGTCACTGTTAAATTTAAAACACTTATTGACTTACTGCGTAGTGAAAAAAATAGTGCTACAAATACAGTTAAAGAGTAAAAAAAGATAATTACAGAATTTGGAAATATTATTTACGGACAAAAAGAAAATGAAAGAAACCTAGGATAAAACGTTGACCTTTCAAAGTAATTTTAAAAAAAAATTACTGACTTCAGTGAGGCTAGGATTTCACCCACTAACTCAGAAGGACTCAATTCTGTCAACACTATCTATGCTGTGCAGCCTCTTCATTGGAAATGCTGTCATGAATAAGAATACAAAAGGATCTAGTAGGTATATGAATTCATCTAAAATGGGAGTTGCTCCAATAAGCAGGCCATGTAAACAAGTCACAAGCCCCATTTAAAATTACCTTCAACAACAATTTCACATCTAATTAGACCAAGTAAATGAATATGTTGCCCACCTATGAAAGTTGCTACTTCTCAAAAAATAAACAAAACACCCCCAAATCTGAAAATAATAGGCTATTTCATTACTATGGGGAGAGGCCTCAGGTTAAAATCTTCATACTATGTTCATTTCTGACATTTTAAAGCATCCAATTTGCAAAAATAACCTGAAACAAGTTCCAAATGATCCATACTGCCTACCACTAGATATGTACATACAGCATTGTGTTTCAGAGCAGCCATACTCTAATCAATATAGTGAAATACTATTTTTTTTAGGCTAAAGATCTTCATGGCAGATTAAACCTTTCTCCTTGGTATACACAGACATTCGGTATGTATCAGACCTAGCAATTTTACTTAGCACATGCTAAATGGATCGGAGAAATGTAAACTTTTTTTTTGCTTTTGATGCTATTTAGATGCTTTGATTTAAAGTCATCAGCCAAAATACTCACTCTTTCACTTTCAACAAAAGTCAAGAAAAACATACTTGAAAAACATTTTACTTGTTTACAGCTCAATCCACAAAAAGCTATAAAAGTATCAGAAGTGATTTTTTAATCACTTGTAAGCATTGAGTTGTTAAAATTAATGTCTCTCTTGACACTTGACCAAGCACATCACAAATAATAATGCAAGCCCATTAACTTGTCTTAATGAAAGTTTCCAAGGAAATAGTGACACACGGTAAACAATTTAGCCAACAGCTTCTGCTGAAACGTGCATAACGGCTGCACAATCCACAAAGGTATTCTCTACTTTGTGTCTATTAATTTTTATTTGATGAAATACAATTAAACAGACAATATGCATAAAATAGCAACAGAGGAGAGTTCGTAACAAATTTTTCAAGCTATGAAAATGGGACGTAACTATATACGCATATTTAGAATGAATCTTATTCTTACCCACAAGCTCTGCACATGATCCACATATCACAAATATGGGCTTAAGGAGGTGCTGTGCAAGAGTATAGGGCAAACAGTTCCATTATAAATGTCTTTATTATTTTTTTTTCAAACTACCATATTACATTTGTGAGAAAAATATTAAGTTCTACTAACATAGGGGACAAGATTTTCTAAATTAAATATTTATGTTAGACTGCAAAATCTATTTGCTATTTAGGTAGCAAAAGTGAATCAATTTTCATTAGGTATGCAGTATCTTTTGGAATTACGAAGTTTTTATTTAGGTTTATAAAAAAGATTTATAGCATCTAGCACCTGTCAACTAAATGTAATTTGAAACACTTTTTACTATATTTGGGATAGTCTTAACCTCCTGACTAACATCTGCTTCTATAAAGATATAACTGTTTAGTACAGAAGAATGCTTTGAGAATTAGTTCTTTATGTTTTTCATTTCCTGGTGGATGCTAAGGTAGAATTTATTATACAAATGCAAAAAAAAAAAAAAATTAATTTCTGTATTTCTTTTAGTTCCACCTTAAATATCTTGTGTTACTATGTTGCCTTTCCAATCATTCTTTATCCCCAAACCTCACACATAGGGTGGTTGTCTTAAGACCAGTGAAAGTTCTTCTATTAATTAATTTTTCTAGTGACAAGCAAACAAGAGTGATGTGTATGTTTCCACCTTTATTACTCATTTTTCCCCTCTTTGAGAAGTAAGATGATGATCCCTGATATGATCATTCTGTGAAATTATTCCCACTGTAAATTAAAATCTTGTGTCCGCTTAAAAGATGACTAACACTGAGTGACCTACCATATTTTTTCTTCGAGGCTACAGTAGCCTTCAAGCTAACAAATCATGCTAGTCAGTCTAAACTTTCTATTTATTAAGTTTAACCATTTAACTCTTTTTTCATATGCATTTGTATTACATTACCAGCCCCTCAGTATTCTACCAAGGCCTGCTGTTAAGTATGTGCTGAGTACTGCAGCACTCCACCTTCTTAAGGAAACAGGGTCTTTCACTTCAAAAACCCAATAAAGGTATTAACCATTTTTACTGTATTTTGTGTGTTTTGGCACATCTTGATTCTGACAGAATATGCAAGTTTCCAAGTGTGGTCACATAGCAACTGTCTGGAAGGGACATATCACTTTGTAACTGGTAAGAAAAATTATTAACCATGTTTTTAGTTACTCAAAACCTAGCAACAGATCCAACAGTGACAAAGAGGTACGCTCATGTAACACAGACAATGGGAAATTCTGAGCTATGCTGGCTCATCTTCATTCGAGGATTACATACCTGTAATATCCCAGAGTGGCTTACAGCTGCACTGGTCTCACTTGGAAAAGAAATCATATGATCTGGAAAAAAGCTCTATAACAATAATAATTTGTATCAAAGTTCCATTAAAAAAATAAATAAAACTTTGTATCTCTTTTGGACCTAAAACTAAAGTTCTCAGTACAGTGCAAGACACTGCAGATTCTCTGGTTCAATAATTTAAGCTTACCTTAATATCATTCCTAAATTTGTGACATCCTATATATTATTTGATGAAAAATTTAGAATTTTGAGAAAACATCAATGGTCTCTGGAGCAAGAGGGTTTCATACACCAGTACAAGTCATATTGCAGTACTTGGCCCTTAGTGTTGTTTTTCTAGCAGTAATTTCTATTGCTGTTGACATATAAGACTTGCCCGGGGCTTCAATATGCTACAAAGTAGGGAGGATATACATCAACGTGCTGAAAAACATACTGTTTTCTGTTGTCCTCATTACACTAGAAACCCGGTAAAAGATTTTGAAATAACTTTCATTAATAGAGAACAAGTCCTCTCAGGTTTTTTTTTAGTTGTCCATTTTGTATGATATGAATATGAATTAACATCAAAACCTGACTACATCAATACAGTGTAGTTAAAAAGTCCGCATTTAAAGTGCCAATTTCATTATCAAGGAAAGCTCAAGGGATAATTTATGGGACAGACCTGCAGCTGGGGAGTTCAGTTATAGTCATGCAGATATGAACCAGCCAAGAGTTCGATCATTACTAATAAAGTTTTCTCAAGGCTTGGACAAGTTTGAAGCTAATATTTCCATGACCATCCAACGTCCACTGACTTTCATTTTTAATAAAACTGAACTACTGGTAGGGTTAATTCATATCAATTCATTTCTGATGAAGCATTCTTGCTGCACCTGGGACTAGAGTATCCAGAAGAATGACTCACAGTAAGGACTCCGATTAGCCACAGCTAATGGTAGTCACAGCTGCATGTCTACCACACTCCACAGCTGGTTCCACTCACTGGCTAACCAACAGACAAACATATCTATCCTTTGAAAGCTTCTCTATTAAGTGTAGACCATCTCAAGCTTAGAATTTTTAACCAGTACAGTGATACCCCCATGTCAGGCGAGTACATGATTTGCCTAGGGAAACACAGGTAGAGCAAGAAAAAGCCCCTCAGATCTCTTATATCTTTTGCTATCTTAACATTTACCTTTTCATCCTTTTCACAGGTAGATAATCTGAGTTCCCTTCCACTTTTCACCTTTTAAATCATCATACATTCCAGCTATTTCTCCCTTTGACATCTGAAACAAGCTGGCTTTGTAAGAGACAGCATTACGAGTGATCCAAATACACCATGCATTTGGGGAACCAGATGGTGAGCTCCTCCTGCTGAGCCAGGGCTACTTCCATGGCCTTTGCCATCAGCCAAGGTCTGAATCAGTAGCATTCATCTTTGGTAACATCCCTGAGTTACGCATTGTCTCTGCTCTCTTTCCATTCCTTACATACACTAACTTTGGCTTCACTTTCACTTACTCCTAATAGGTTATGGCTGCTCATGGCCTTTCATGTCAGTTGTCATTTAGCTGCAGCTGTGAGAAGCTGCCATTGGGCAGTGCTGGGCCATAACATTCGATTTGCACTTCAATAACAAAATCATCTTTGCTACAGATGTCCCTCCTCACACTGCTTCGTTTTGTATTTTGTTGTCACTTGACGGAAGCTTCACTCAATTTCAAAAATTTTGTTTTGTCACAGGTCTGCGTGCAAACTTCAATAAAGTTAAACCCATGTCTGCCTCCCTAACCCCCCAAAAAAATCCGTGAACATAGCTGTTCTACAATTGCAACAAAGGGACTGGGCAACAGTTACACACACTACAATTCCTATAGCCCATATATTCCCTCCCAATGATTCCTTTAGACTCAAGTTACACTAACAGCTTAACCCTCTGCCTATCTGCCTGTAACAGAGAAGACACTTTCGCAGCAACACCAATTGTACCACTTGACAGATATAATGTTAGGACTTACCAGTGGATTTTTAAAAAACTCATACTTGGCGTAATTTTTTCTAAAATACAGTTTGTTTTCCTCTTCCATTACCCAATTTGACTGGACTTCGATCACTAATTCATGGTCCTCTATAGCTCTTCCTGTAAAAAACCCAAACAAATTAAAAAAAACAACACATAACTTGCACCTAAGATCCTAGGAGTAGAATATGAAAACACAACGGTCAGATAATAAAAAATATTATTAATCAATCAAAATGAATACAAAACATGAAACAAGCAATCTGAACATAGTCCATTCACCAGGTCCATGTTACACCAAACTACTGTTCCACCTCAGCAGGGCCCAACTTCAGAGGTAGGACACATGTGGGGTTTTTTGTTTGTGTTTTGTTGTTTTCTTTTAAAGATGCAGCTGAGGGCTTTATTCCATTTCATGGCCAAATCCATGCGCTCCCTGCAGAAGCCAGGAACTGCTGTGCGATGCATGGGGCAGCACCTCAACCATTCACTCAGCCTGTCTGGGGCATCGGGAATGTCTTTCTAATGCTCCTTTCTCTAATGCATCATTCATAAAGCGAAAGTTATCTGCAATATAGAAAAGCATTAAATTGCCACCTTCTCCCCAGGTCTCTACTATGTCCTGAAGCATTTCTAAAACTGCAGATGAACTCAGGGCATTTCAGTGTTTTAATGTTCTTGCACAAACAAGGGATAATGATAATTTTAGCAGCTGTAGAACTAGCATATGCAAAAGGTGTGGTAAAACTAAGCCATGAAAAACACTAAAAATAACCTACAAAGCGAATCCTAATGTGTAGTTCTGCTTTGCAGTGGGGCGAGGGAAAGAAAAGGCAAAGAATTCAGATATTTGTACCACAGCACTGGCATTCAGAATTGGTGTTCTCACTGCTTTAGATTGCTTCTGCTGCTCAGATTCTTGAGTGAATTTTTTGATTTCACAGCATTGTACTGTAAATAAATACTGTAAATATGAAATGCACTTATAGGAAAGACATACAATTTAGTAACTTTCCTATAGATGTATCGTATATATTTATGTGTTATATACGCTGAGTAATGCAATGGGACTACTCATATTGCAGGAGGTTAAACATAAATCCTGAGAGACTATGGATAATTTCTGTGCAATATTATTAATACTACTTTTTTTTTTTTAATAAATTTCATCAGCTAATGAAATCATGTTAAAAAAAAAAGGATGAACATGCTTCCAAATGAGTACACAGTTTTTGTGACCACTTGTACTTTGAGTTGTGGACTCAGACTAATGAGAACAAGACATAGTTGAACAAAGTTGTAGATTTAATTTAAATGATCACTGGCACCTCCACATTTAAATTACACCCCAACAACGAGTTACAGATTAAGAACAGGTTTGAGATCTAAACTTATGTCTCACTGCCAATTACGGGGTTTTAACATCCAATCCGGATCATGGTTTCAAAGGGAAAGGGCAATTAAAAGTATATTATAAAAAACACGTAACAATTTTCTGATCACATTTTCTACAATTCATTGCATTATCATAAGGGATCTTACGATATACTTTAAATGAATGTTGATGCTCTCATATAACTACCTGTCGTTACAAACTTCTTAAAAAATCTTAACAGATAAAAGAATAGTATAGATTTTTTTTTAAAACTCAATTAGACATAATATTAAATTAATATAAATGGTAAATTTTTGCAAGTGGTCCTGGCTAAAAAAGAGCCTAACTTGCATAAAGCGTAGCATGCACAACCTTCTAAGAGATAAAAATCAAACCTCAAATTTGAACTCGTTAAAGCCTCTTTAGAACTACAGCATCTTTTTATTGATCTTCTCTTGCCACCTTCTTCGCCAGTCACTGCTTCATGCTTCCACATTGTCCAATCTGGTGGGTAACAGCCTTATTGTAGCTTGCAATTCTATAGGCTTCTTCAGGAAATTTCCACACAGCAAATTTAGAGACAATACACTCATACAGCTAAATTTCATCTCAGTAGGAAAATACCAAGTTCACGACTAGCAGAAAACAACGCACTCTCATGATCTACACACCAACTAGGGAAAAGTTAAGCTTCCACTGAATTTAACTCATTCTTCACTGAATTAACTCATTCTTGAGCCCAGAAAGACAGAGATTAAGAATGCTACATGAAACTCACATTTTGTAACCAGATCAAATGAAGCAAATAAAAACAAAGCAATTCAGAAAACAAAAAATACCCCCAAAATACTGAAAGAAAAGTGAGCATCTTAGAATCTCGTATAGGCTGTTCTACTCCAAAACACATTCTTCAGATGCAGAAGTAAAGAGACACTAAAGAACTGAGGCTCTTACTCAAAACCAGCATTTTTTTTCTTTTCAGTTTTATATAGAGAAAGTTCTCCTTTGGGATGACATTTAAAACTCTTAAATGCTTGGCATTGTGACATTTAAGAAAATACCATTTCCTCAAGACTTACTTCTTGGTACAAAAATAACACATTCTGCATCACCCCAATGGATGGGTAAGGATGCTGGTAATTCTTTATTTTTAAGGTGTCATATCACAGAGTATTTTACAATTGATTCAACTTACATTCTTGAAGGAACTGGAACACTGAGTTAGTGCCCTCCAAAACACAGCCCTGTAATCAAATCCCTAAACGTTGCCATGAAAAAACTGTGCTTTGGTTTTGTTAGATAATTTTTTCTCTTCCAAAGAGATTGGAACGTTTCTACCTTTCTCTCTACCATCTTTACTGCTACTATCTCTAACGTGAGGAGAACCTGCTACAGTCCAAAACAAAGTCTCCTTAACTATGGAAAGTAACTAAAGCACATGAAAGAAGATTTAATGTTGAAGTGCATGACAGAACATGTTGCAAATACCCTCCTCCCTAGCCACCCAGTGGGGGAAAAAAATCTAAACTAAATAAAAACCAGAAAAGCCATTGCCCAGTACTATTGCAGAGATAGCATTTTGTGAGCCTTCCCACAGAAGAATTTCTAAATCTTCCCTAAATCTTCCCTAAAAGAATGCAGACAGTGAAACCAAAATGAGGGAGTGAAACACAACAATGATGTGCCTGACCATGGCAATATTGCCTACCCAAAGAGGAGTCCTAGAATGTGTTGAGCTGCAGAAGCAAATGGTAAACTGTTTACAGTGAACACAAAAATTTCTCACTAGAAAAGGAAAAATTTCAGGATGAAGACAGTATTTTCCTTGAAAAGGAAAACTACGGAAAGCCGATCTGTTTTCACAGCCTGCCCTGTACAGGGGAATTGCAGGGGAAGTATGGGACTCCAACACCATGGTACCTGGTGATAGGGATGACATGGCATCATCCAAATCTAGGCATACCTCAGCTGCCTTCAATAATCTTACACAAGGTGAAAAACATCCCAAGAATTTCTTTGAATTCAATAACTTGGGACAAAAAGGACACCTACCAGAAGCACACAGTTCTGAAATATACTGCCATTTATAGTGCTGCAATAATCGTCGTACTTCAGATATTTGAAAAACCTCAGAGGTGGGTAGGAAGGCTGAGCATCCTGGGTGGTGAGGCAATGGCAGCGGGCTGCGCGCAGCGTGGGTGCCCCACAGCAGGCAGATGGGGTGCGCTGGCTGGCTCCCCAGGGAAGCGGCACGGGTGGAGAAATCATCTCACCTGCCCGCTCGCCCCAAGTCAACAGCATCTGGTCAGCACTTGCCGTGCAGTGAGGACATGACAATGCTTAATGTTCAACAATACAGTTCCACACTAAAAGGCAAACAGGTTTGTGAAAACAGGAATACACAGACTGTGGTTTTATGTTTTCTTTTGGGTGGATTTTTATTTTTTTCTTTTTTAACCTTCACATGCAGATACCCCCCCACAGCAATGAAGGCACACTCCAGTGACATAATTAGTCTGTCTTGATTAAAAGCAGAATGCTGTGCTCAGCTCACTAAGATTCATGCAATCATACCTAATTCAGGGGTATTCAGACAGCTGTTAGATATTAAAGAAAATGTTCACTAATTGATGAATGAATTATTAATCCACATCAAACTGGAATTTACACAGACACACACTCACTCACAGTACTTCTTTCTATAGCCATTCATTTAACTTGGGAGCAGAAAAAGACTGTCCAAATTTCCATGGGTTAATCATACAACAGAATAATAAGTAGCAAACAGTCCAAAACTAAACCATCATTTGAAAAAATCTGATCATGCTATTCATCCAGTGCTTAAGAATATACTTAACGCAAGTCAAGATCAGTATGTTAAACCTTTGAAATAAAACCAGATATAACAGTATCATAAAAATAAATCCTTGATTATTCAGTATTACAAAAAAAAAATAAAGAAGATATCTCAAGTTGTTCCTTTCCTTGGCTAATAATGTTGAATTGCCATCCTCATCATCTAGGACATAATTTTATTTTAAAAATCAGCAATTCACCTTTTTCTAAAATTCTGCCCACAGCAGCTGGAGCAATCAGGAGATGGTACGGTGAATGCACACTAGCAATTTTGAGAATTTCAGAATCTTAGGAAAAGCAACTTCACTACTGATTTGATATTGAAATCTTCCAAGACATCCTTCAGATTGAAGCACTATTTGACAAAAAGTGTATCGTGCAAATAAATAAACCTGGAAAAACAATGCCACTATTGTTCTGGCATAGTTTGTCAAAAGTGTCTTCTTCAATAGTTACTACACTACTTAAACACCAGACACACTATAAATTACAGAGAAGAGTTCTACTATTTATATAGTAGTGTTGTCTAAAGCCATTTTTATACCTCCTCTTCTGTAGCAGTCAGTCATTTACAGCCTCGACCCAGATTTAACTCTGACCTTACTCTGAGCTGGAAGCATCTTACAACTGATACATTCAGTGCAAAAGCTTATAAATATCTTTGAAATGTTACAAAGCAAGAAAAAAAAAATTGAAAAACGTTTGTGGCTGCCTTCATAGAATAAAAGGAGCAGAAAAGGGCAGAAAACCGTCTTAGCTTTTGTAGTTCATCTTTAAAATATGGCTGTTAAACATAATGCAGTCGGAGATGCACAGTCAAGTTTATTTTACACAAATGCATGAGTCCCGATTCCCTAGATACACACGCAGAAACAGAGCTTAACAATAGCTTTTAGCCATATATAAATATCTGTGGTGTGTGGGGGTGTGTGTGTGTGTTTGGTTTTTTGGTGGTGGTGGGTGTTTGTTTTGGGGTTTGGTTGGCTTGTTTTTTTTTACTTTTTAAATCAACAGTACTGGAGTTACCAGGTATCAGTCCAGTTTCTTCTGAGAATTAAGGACTCCAAAGAGTTTTCTACGTATTTTAGAATGCAGAAAGGCCCCCAAAACGTCTTCTTTCTCAAGCCACACGTTGCACTAGCAGCTGGAACAACCCTTGAGGCTGCAGCAGAAGTACCACCTTTGGTAACTCTAGTGCAGTGCCAAAGTTCAAGAGTAATATGGAAACTTTGGGTGACAAGAAATTAAAATAAGATTTTTATGGCATTTTCTTCTAGTAGATTTTTCTGATATAATTCCCTATAAAACCCAACACAATATGGTACTGAAAAGTAGTGCTGTAAAAGGTAGTCAGATTGTCTGACTAGAGTATCAGTTCAACACTACATCCAAGTGGTGGGCCTGTGTTCTGCAGTTTTTATATATCTGCAAACATCCCTTTTCTCCCTGTCCTGTTTTCGGCTGGGATAGAGTTAATTTTCCTCCTAGTAGCTGGTGTACTGCTGTGTTTTGGACTTAGTATAAGAATGTTGATAACACACTGATGGTTTAGTTGTTGCTATGTAGTGCTTACACTAGCCAAGGCCTTTTCAGCTTCCCATGCTCTGCCAGGTGCACAAGAATCTGGGAGGGGGCACAGCCGGGACAGCTGACCCCAACTGCCCAAAGGGATATTCCGTACCATATGATGTCATGCTCAGTGTATAAACTGGGGGGAGTTGGCCAGGGCGTAGTGATCACTGCTCGGGGATGGGATAAGCATTGGTCAGCAGGTGGTGAGCAGTTGCATCACTTCTTTTTTCCCACGTTTTGTTTCTCTTTCTCGTTGTTTTCATTTTCATTTTTTAAATTATTATTATTATTATTATTATTATATTTCAATTATTACACTGTTCTTATCTCAACCCATGAGTTTTCTTACTTTGGCTCTTCAGATTCTCTCCCCCATCCCACAGTGGGGGAAGGGTGAGAGTGGCTGTGGGGTGCTTAGTTGCTGACTGGGGCTAAACCATGACACTCCCTATATTTAATGTGTCTTAATGCGTTTTTATACTGCAAAATTATATATAACCACTACAAAAAGGAACAGAGACCAGAAGTGAAAATTATAGTTGTAATCTGAAACCACCTTTTAAACTGTATAATAGAAAAAGAGGGGGTTTACTACACTAGAGGAACACTGATGATGTGGAAGGAATTCAGAGCATTTCGTTTACAGCAACTTAAAATACTAAGCATAAAGTCACTTCCACCCAGTTCACTGGTCTGGAAGTTTAGAAGAATGGGTTTGTTTGGCTTTTTAAGTAGCCCTGTCCTAGAGTTCACAATAAATCTAGCCAAACTGATTGTACTGAAGGAAAATACTGACAGCCTACTCTGATGTTATTTCTGAAGACTGAGTCCTATTGTCCAGAAAGAATAGCACCGTGTAACTGCTTTCTATCCTTAATGTCAAAGATTTCACTCAGGTGTGTTGGGAAGAACAAAGATTTTCTTTGCAGTGAAAACAACCCAAGTCTTGCTAGGGATAACCAGGAAATACCAGTAACAGAGGAAGAAAAGCAAGGAAGAGCAAGGAAGAATTTGCAGTGAGAACCTTATCGGTCAGTGTCTTCCAAATCACTCTTACAGATGCAGATTGAGCAATGTGAGGCATTTTATGCATACTTTGATAAAATGTACTTTATAGCTATGCTTTCAAAAAAACAGAAGCAACAAACCCAAAAGAACAAATTCACACAAGCCCTCCCATCATTTTGCTTCCAAGCCTTTCTATTACAATTATACTTCTATGTGAAAATGAAAACCAAACACTTTATTTACTGCCATACCATTGCATAGTCTTAGTCTTACCTAAACCTGTGTGGGTAAGTTGTTCAAACAGAGTCCAGCTGTGGTCATCAATATAGTGGTTCTTCAATATCAACAGCTGACATACATCCCTGGCTGTTATATCACTTGGTACTTCCAAGGCTCTGCTAGTATCGTCTTCGCTATACACTTTAATTACCTGCAATAAATAAAAATGCTTAAATATCCGTAAGTTTAATTTTTGATTCAGTTAGTCCAAACATGTCCCTCTCTCAGCCTCATGACTGACACAAGAACCTATGCATATCAGATGCAATACTAAAGACAACCATTTCTCTGTAGCACAACGGTGTAATTGAGAACAAAACAGCTGAGCAAAGTGTATCCCACTTCTAAATTTCACTCCTGGACATCCTTTGCCACAGGACACTGGGCAGATTGGTCAATTCACTTAAAAAAAAAAAAAGGTAATGAAGAGGTAAATAAACCTGGTGAAACTACATTCTTATATAAGGTAAAGAAGAAACCACAGAGGATAAACAATGAAACTCAAGAACTCTATGACTGCAGAACTGTAGAAAGATTTGATAGAGTTAATTCAGAGAACAGCAATCAGATTTGAGATGCTCACAATTCTGTAGACAATAAAAACAGGAGACGCTAAAGAGCTGCTTCAAATTTTGACAAGCAAGAACTGGAACTATGAGTAAAAAAAAGCATATATACATACAGAATCAAAAACTTCATTCATCATATGAAGATGAAAGTAAATAAAATGTTCTAGAAGATGTACATGTAAAAAAACTTATCACAAAGTACACAATTTTTATCACGCTTTATCTCTGTAGTTTTTCCAAGTTTCTTCATTCTATTAAGTATGGGGGGAGGGAAGGAGGCAATATAAACTCTCATGAGTTTCAACACTGATACACATTTTATAGTCCAGAAGAATGGGCATCCATTAAGTTCTTGAAGAGGTGAAGCTAAACCTGCTTACGCTTAATTTCAAATCAAGAGGTTGAGGAAGTCTTATTGCATACTGACTGTTTGAAAGAAGGCGTGGCCATTTAGGTATTTTTTTTCTGTACTTTTTTCTCTGAAGGAGAATGAATCAGATGAATCAGTGAATTGGATGGAATTGATGCAAAGCACTAGTGCTGTGTCTTATTAAGCTCTGCACAGTGACTAATCCCATTAAAGTCAACACGGAAGGGGTTTTTTGTAAGAGTAGAAAATAATTTCATATTCTTCACAGCAGTCAAGAAACTCAATATTCTGTTAGATTTCCTTTCTCATTTTTTAAAAGTAGACAACACAGAAAAAGTGAAAACTATTCAGGTTCCTGACACAAAGGTTAACTCTTATCTGTGGTACTGTATGTTGGAGTAGTAACATAGTTCCCAAAATGACAGATGTTTGAGTTTTTATTATAAACACAAACAGGCAAGTAAACATGAACAGTAGGTATAGAAGATTTGATGCAACATTAAATATGCCATAACATTATTCTGGATACTCAGAAATACACTAAACGATCAAGTCTAGAATGCATCTTTTTTACCCTTTGTATTTTCAAACACACGTTTTCACCCAAAAGCCACCCAATGTCATGAGATTGGAAAGTGAATACATTAATTCATCTTTAAGAATGGGATTTTTTCCCCAATATTTACATTCTCTAGTAGTGTGAAGTAACACTGTGCAACATTATTCCCTCTCTACCAAAACAGTAAGAGTGTGAATGCCCATTCCCAGCACAGTGCCTGCTCACTTGCTTGTGACAGGCTGGCCACAACAGCCAGGAACTCAGCACAGGTTAAACTACCCAGACAAAGCACAGACATCCTCAAGCCAAAGGGCACCTAAGACATTTTTATTTTATCTAAAAAATCCTCTTCTCAGTTTATTCAATTTATCCATATTCATCAGAATACACACCACACCTGAACTTTATGCACAAAACCTAAATACCATTGTAAACCCTTCATTAAACATCAAGACACAAGTTCTTACTTTAAAGACAAACAAGCATGTTATTGTCAGTCAGTCCTTAATTGCTACCTTATTAAACACTTGCTCATTTCAAGCATCTAATGAACAATCAGCAATTTATTGTTGCCCTAACTTGTTACAGCAGCTCCTTTTCTGTTTTGTGCCGAAGTTGGTAGGGAAGCGAGCAAGGAGCTGCAATGATATCTCCTGCCACCTGTATCTCTCCCACTAGCAGCAAAAATCCACTCCACCCCCCCAAAAAAAACCCCCCCCAAAAAAAAATCAGGTCAGCTCACCCATGCTTTCCAAACAGCTCCCCCATGCTTTCCAACCATCAGAATAAGGAAAAAGGACTCCACGTGAAAGCCACCTAGACATTAAAGCACACTGATGGTCTTACTCCTCTCCAAAACCCTGCTTTTCTCTATGCAGCTACACATACAGCAGTTCTGTTACAAACTTTGGCCCAGCATATTAAATCAGCATGAAGTCCATGATGGTTTGCTTTAGTATTTCAGCTAATAAATGATAACAGTTCAAGAGTTCCACACAAGGTTCAGCCATCCTTGCCATGACACTAATCTCCAGGATACAGCAAATATTAAAATCACACTTCTGAAGTGCTGAAAATCTCTCTATACTCAAGAATCAACCACCTCAAAGCAGAGTCTTCCAGGGAAAACAGGCAGACCTTGGAGAAAGTCGGTCCAAAGTTTCCACAGGCCTAAGCTACAGCCCAGTACTTACATTTAATACAAAAGGCAAAAAGACCACATCAGTATTGAATTCAATGATCGATACTGTCAAAACAGCCGTGGTTGATGGCTGTGCTTGGGTTTGTAAGACGTCTGTGCTTTGGCAGCGTTACCACTGCTAAGCAAGTGAGACCGACAGCACCGCAGCCGGCTTGCAGCAGGGTCTCGTTCCACCCACATAACCTAAACTCCCACTCCCGTCACACAGAAATGACGTTCTGTAGTTCAGGATAAACCGGCATGAATTACTTAAATCCATGCTGTATTTACAAGGATTCAAAGGTGAAATTAAAAGAGGTGTCTGCCAGGGTGTCCTGTGAATAGGATGGAGGGCTCTACAGGTGAGTAGACAAAAGAGCTGGCAGAACAGCCAGCACACACTAGCAACTACAGTTTTCCTCAGGTACTCATCAAGTTAGGTGGTGCGCTTGTTTTACATACAGCAAGAGCACGTACAGCCAACGCTGAGGCCCTTGACAGACGATTTTTACAGAAATTCTCTTTAAAAGGGTTAAGAGTCGCGGTGCAGATGACTACACTCTTATTGCTGAAGAAATAGAAAAAGACTTTTTAAAATGCTCAAGAAAGCAACACAAGTCATGTTAATAAGCTGCCTGCGGCCATTCAACTTGGGGAGTGGGGAGCCATGGAGGTGGCCTTGGACTACAGGAGCACAGCCAAAACAAAACAAAAGAAAACAACATAACAAAAAAAACAATAGGAAAAAAACCCACCAGAGTTTATATTCTCTGTGAGTATTCTCACTCAGCTTTCTCAGCATAGGGAAATAAATCCTGCACAAGTCTAAGACAACAGACCACCCCAGCTCACAGCTATGAGGTGCTACCTTACAAAACACAAATCCTGTGCCCTTTTTCTCTTCCTTGCAAGGGATTCAAATATAGCAGGAGACAAAAAATAGGCAGTCACCCAATAGACCCTTCTGAACTTCTGTTACAGTTTTAGTTTAATGAAGTGAATGTGATGGTGTAAATCTCATCAGTTAGAATTACTTTTGAGGGTGGTTTTTTTCATTAGAAAAAGTTGCTCGGTCTGCGCTTTCCGCTGTGTTTGAAGCAAAGTCTCTTGTAGGATTTGCTGGGAATGTATTTGTTCCAAGGCGAGTGGGTCACTTGAAAAAGGGTATGTTCAGAATCCCATTTTTCCTTGGAAATATGTTGCAATGAATACTTCTCTTCCCAGAAGTAGGGGATGCTCCAGGAATTAAAGGGTGGCAGGATTATGCTAAAGATGCAGTTCTGCTGACCTCCTCTACAGATGAGGAAGCTTGGGTGACCATTTCTTTATTTTTATTAGCAGTTCTCATCATGCATTAGGCTGGCCAGTCATTCCCACTCTCTTCCATTTTTTCCCCTGAAAATTTGTCTGAGAAGTAGCACAAGAAAAGAGCTGCTAATTGAGAACAAGACGTCATTACAGTTTTCATTACCATACGTGCTCATGCTTTGTTCTAAAGCAAGCTATTTAACTTCCCTTGACTATCAGTAGACAGCTAGAAAAAGTTGCCTCAGTAGTGCTTTAATCTTCTTCTTTCCTGTCCAGTTTATAAATACAAGATTTTAGTTCTTCCCAAGGTCAGAAAAAGAAACATCTCAATAGCTTCCATTTAAGCCACTGGAAGTAAGAAATTAGCAGTTCCAAGATCTTCTTATAAGAGGAAAGCACCAAACTGAGCATGACAATCATTCATCATTTTCATTGCCTATGGGAGCAGGCAAGGAGGTACAGCTTTCCTATGCATCGTCTTTCCATTTTTCAATATATTAAAGATCAGCCAAGATCCCAGATGCATGTGCAATGCATCTTTATAAATCCAAAAAATTATTTGATAAGAAATGTTGCTTCAAAATAAAATGTATTGTTGTTTGTATTTCACTAACCATCTGAACTCAGAATGTAAAATCAATGTTGATAAACATAACATAGTATTTAACATGGAAAAGGAAAAAGGAGACCCCAGCTTTTATACTAAAAAATAATCAGATGGAGCAAAAAACCAGAAACTGTTGAAAATAATAAGTAAAAGGGCAAATAAGGTAATCAGTGTGGGAGGAGCAAGAGAAGGCCGGACTCTACTCCTCCAAGTCTTCTTCCACACTCAACCATCAACTCCACTACAATAATTAAATAATGTGTTTCATAGACTTTTAAGAGAGGGTATCCAAGTCTAAGCCTTCGGAATCTTCAAGCCATCTGGCTTGGAAGTTCTAATCTGCAGAAACAGCACAAACATATGGAAAGACCATACCCTGCGTTGAGGAATTTCAGATTTCAAACTGAGTCCTGACATGTGCAAAAAGCCAGGTAGATCCAACAGAAAAAGAACCACTCTGTATTTACGTGCCTACATCCAAATAACCTGACATTTACATGATTCTTAATGCTGCTGTATAGCCATTAAGACAGTGGATGGTCACCACCTTTAAAAAAG